CGTATAATTTCTATGGCATTCTGTACTGTCAGTGTGTTACTTATGCCACTGCCAGTGGCCACTGCCAGTGCATGTGGTGGTGATAGTACGGTGTAGTTTTTGCCTGCGTTAATTAGTTACAGGTGGCAGCTCTCTATTTCAGCCTGTAGGCTTGCGTAGGTAAATGATGAGTGCTTACCTATTCTGTCTTGCAAATAGTTGTTGCTACTACGTACGATGGGAGCTTCCATCTTTAATCTTAGGACACTTAAACGTACGCGCCATCTCGTGGCAACTTTCATAACGATCTCAACGAACATTCCTTTGAGAAGGTTCCTGATACCATCCCTGTGCCTTCCACTGTTTCGGCGCGTATGTGAACACATTTGGGACTAACAGGGTTTACTAGAATCCCACCACTCCACCACAGAGTCACCGCAGTTGACGTTAGATGAGCGTTGTTGCTCTGCGGCACTTGTTAATAACATTACCAGATTTAATGTAGTTTCCGCGGCCACCACGGCGTGTGAAGACAAGAGGGAAATCGCAGCACATACCGTATATGATCGCGTAATAACCGCGGCCGCCTATAAGCCGCACCTCAATTTGAATCGCGTAACCAAGTATTGCGCCTAGTATATTTCCCCTCATGGTATGGCGCACTTATAAACCGCAGAGCAAATACAGGGTTGAAATCTGAGGCCAAATTTTTAGGAGTATATACGGTACTATCAATGTCGTGGCAGAATTTGAGCTCTCAATCTAAATGACATGTCAAATTAAACCCATGCAGGATTTCTGGCCCCTGCTTCTAATACTGACAGAATGATTGGCTAACTTTAACATGTATCATAGAGAGAGTACTTATAAGTCACGCTCAGTACAATCGCAACTCTAGGGTTTAAAAAATGTGATGTTGGACAATTGAAACTCCTACGCTACAATGACAATCGTCCAAAGGCACCTTTCATAATGTCGCATTGTGTCAGAATTTCTTCATTGGCATCACAAGCCAAATGTTTGATAATAATCCCTAATCATTGATTGATTGTAAATATGTGCTATCACTATTTTCAGATTTTCAGAAATATGTCATGCAACGGCAACAGCTAGATGCGCAGCTAACAGAAAATAATGTTGTGAAGGAGGTAAACTGATCTACTAAATACTTTCTATTATTACAATACAATAGATTCGTGTATGCTTGCTATATATCCGTCCCTCGCACCGTCCCCAAACTTGTCATCCTGTCGGGTCAGTCTGGTTTCACTGTATCCTGTGCCCCCCCCCGACATCCAGATATCGTGACCGTACGTCGAGCGGTTAAGATTTGTGCCCAACTCGTTGACGGACGCACGGACGACGGACGCCAACGCGGCCGTTGTCGCGCCGGTGCGTGCAACCGGTCGGACACCGCAGCTGCGGGCGGCACGCTGTGACGACTTTTGGACTACATGCGATTCTACAAGCTGATGTCTCGTACTCGCGTATACCGTCGTACCCAGCATAGCGAGAAACGGCACTCAGAATGACACAAATGAGATATACTTGGTGTCATTAAGTGCATGAGTTACGTAAGATAACAAAATGCCACCATACACAAAAATAAACGGTAACTATCAATAAACACTTTAACACTTTACGGATTAAACACAGCAGATCAAGTTCAACAAACGTTCTTGCTCCTCGACGTACCTAGTAACGTACTAAAAAAAGAGTAAGTGGTCAACGCAAGTTGGCCGACAAAGATAAGCCACACCGAACAAACCAGACCGGGACAAGCGTAACCGTTCCCAGCGTGGGCTCACGAAGCCGGAATGCCGTGGAGCGTGACCAACCCACCGCCGCAGTACTAGCCACGACAGATGACAGGAGCGGCTTGGGTGAGAGTCACCCACCTGGTACGCGCGAGGACAGACACACTGTCTCTCTAGCGATTACGCCATTGCCGAGACGCGTCTTCGGACGGTATACCACCATGGGGTGTGTCACAACGCTACAGTTGATGTTTATCTGGTAGCGTACGCACCGCCATCTATTGTATGGATGCGGAGAAGTTTGTCAATTTTGATAAACTTTTTAACTTTTTCTACCATTTTGTGGTGTCAGCTTCAGTCAGAACACGAGTACGGCAGCCTCCCAGTACCCTTATTGCACTCCGCACTCCCCAACATCGCCTCTTGAAAACTGGCCTGCCCCATGCAGATCTGCTTGGCGGTATGCACGCCGGGCATAGGGCGACATAGCAACATACATTACATGTACATAAGATACATAGCATACAATACAAAACTGAAATATAGATTAGATATATATACATTTTATATTGCACCAGTTGACGGCGGCTTGAGTATATAAGTGACTCATATATCCATCCAGTAATACCTTATAGTACTTAACTATAGCATGTGCATACACGAAATCTATTGTAATGTGTAATTAAAATAGAAGTACTTTAGTAGGATCAGTTTCCTCCTTCCAACAATTATTTACTCTGTTTAGCGTGACGTGTAACACGTACACAGATTGCTGATCGCTGTTTGTCGCTCCGGCGATGCGCGCTTATATCGCGAGCGACATATTTTCACCTGGAACAATCTGGACAATCAGTGGATACATTATATTTACAATCAACATTCATATGATTAGGCCGGTTATACTCAGAGCGCTTGTGTGCATATTGGCTGTATAGTTG